ACCCCTAGGGCCCTGTAGTTCCTAGGACTGTCCCGGTGTGTTTGGGGTGGGCAGCAAGGAGAAGGGTATAAAGGAATAGCAAATGGGGTTTCTACTCTTACAGACACAGCTGCTGGTTTGGAAGAGGACAAAAACCCAAGACTCAAGAAGCAACGAGGCCAGGAGGAAGTGCAGGTGTCAGCAGCCGAAGCGACAGGTATCCAGGGCATTGGAGAGATGGCATGGCTGTTGGTTGAGGGTCTGCACTGGACCCCAACAGATGGCAGTGAACTTGGGCCTCGATCAAACGGATAGGCATTCCATTCCAAACCGGGTAGTGGCACGAACAAGGCCCAGGGGCTGCCCATGGGTAAGGTGGGGTGATAGTGGAGTACGGGGAAGCCAAGTGTCACCTGGAGCCTGGGCATGTGCTGGAAGCCATGGAAATGAGGCCCAGGTGGAGTGTGGGGCCAGAAGTCAGAGGATGCTCCCTGACTTCTGGATGCTCAAAAGCGTCACAAGGAGCTACAAGTTCCTGATGCTCAAAAGAGTCACGAGGAGCCACAAGTTCCTGAACGGGAATTTTAGAGCAATTCATTTGGCATCTTGGTGTGTGTCTGTCAGGGGTGGGCAGGAGGCAGGTCCTAGAGCTGGTCAGCTGCTTGTAGCAAGGTGATAATGGAAAGAGGCAGAAAAGGGTGGAAGAAGGACCCCCCCAGCCTCAGGTGACGGGACTGAATGGAGAGGTCCACCTCACCCCCAGGACTTGAGGGTTCCAGGCAGTGTGGTCTCCAACAGACACAGGCCAGGCACTAGTCCAGTGAGCTGGAGGGGAAGAATCTAGGGTGAGCAACCATCCTGATGGGCCCAGGACTGAGAGGGCTTCTCAAGACGTGGGGCTTTCTGTTTCAAAATTAGGAAAGTCCTGGGTGAACTAGGATGAGTCGCCCTAGAAGAAACAGGGCCTTCAATTTTAGGCAGGTTGAATTTAGCCAAGCATGAAAACAGCATGGCGCCTAACCACTTAGCCAAAACATAAAGTCGGGTTCTCTGCCCAGTTCTGTCGAAGGCCTTGCACATTTCACCAGAGAGGACTTTTAGCAGGAACCACATGCCCCCCCCAAGATGTAAACTGGTCTCCGTCGCATCCTCTTCCCTCCACAGGGTCCCAGGACCCCCTCTTCCCCATCTCACTGAGTGTCCCTAACTGGGCCCATGGATCACCTCTCCCCAGTTCTCCTTTGTGCTCTGGGTGAATGCTAGCAATTTCTCCAACCCTGCCGAGAGGTTTTCCGTCTTAATCCAGAAGGAACACCAGCGATGCTCTCCTTGCTCCCCAATCCACCCTCGGGGCCTAAGGGGCCAACTGCCCATAGATTATCCATCGGCCCTCCTGGGGAGCCAAGGCTCTGCCCTGCAGACCCCTTGGTGTGTCACACACCGGCCTGCTAGCTGGCTCTGCTGCCATCTGGCTCTTGCAACTTGACATCATTTCATTCTCTCCCTTGGGACACACAGTCCTGCTGGGAGCGCAACAACGTGGTAAGCAGGTTGACTTGCTTGCACGTTTCTGAACAGTAGCTCTGGGAGAAATACTCTCATCTCTACAATGACACACACGCACAGAGGGCCTGGGTCTCCACTAAGGACTCAAAGTAAAAGGAGAGAAACAAGGGAAAAAGAAAGGCTGCAGGGCAATAATTCTTAGAACAGCGCTCCTCACACTTGTGTGTGCATCGGAAGTCCCTGGAAGCTGTGTGCAAGTACAGACTGCAGGGTTCCACCCCAGAGGATCGCTTCAGTCGGTCTGGGATGGGTCCAGAACTTGTCTTTCTAACAAGTTCCCAGGGGAGGCTGGTGCTGCTGGTCCGGGGACCACACTTTGAGAACCACCGTGTTAGAGTATAGCATCCATATGCAGTTAACGGGAAGCATGCCAACGCGTCTAAAACAGATGCCTCTGATGGAGTTCTCTTAGAAATCTGTCTTATTAAGTCACAACGGTTTCAAAGTTTAAAAAGTATCTATTGATTGTGTTTTGAAAAGGCTGCTATTTGTGGAACACTCTTCTAAGAAGCCCTTTTTGGCCTCAACACTCCCCTCCCCTGACCCCCACCAGCAAGACACGGCCACTCTGTCCATCCCCTGTAGGCACAGCATCGTCCAAGCAGACACCCTGACGGCCCATGGAACAGCGCAGAGCCCTTGTCCCTTCATGGTGCTGGGGTCTGCCTGAAGGCAGATGTGGCCTTGCTCAGTCAAGGGCCCCAAATGCTGTCAGAGTCAGGAACACAGTAGGTGCACCAGACACAGTGAGTGAGTCCGTGTAAACACTCTCAAAAGACACAAGCCCTCTCAGTCTAGAAGAGGTTAAGGCATCTTTCTCCACATAACTATGTCCAATTTAATTTGTCCTCCTATGGGTTTACTCCTGGCAGCCGTTCAAGCTGACTAGCACTGAACAAACCTACGCTTTCACGGGGCTGCTCCAGCCAGATTCCACCTGTCTTCAGGGGGCGAGGCCGCTGCCCAGGGGGCCCAAGTGTCTCCTGCCTCAAAATGGCCAGCGTTTCATTTTTCTCTTGATCGCCCACCCTGCCCTCCTGCAGACCTGCAGGTTCTCTGACTTTATCCCAGAGCGGCCTCTCTGGCGACACCTCAAAGATGACAGTCCATCTCTTTGTTGTGGAAATTTCCCATTTCCTCCCTTACTCCTGAAACCATCTTTTGACCCAGGTTTCTTGGGCATACAAGTTCTCAGAGCCACCGGTGCATTTCGTTTGGGGATACTGGAGGCTCACTTTTCAGTAAGGTGGGCAATTTCACTAAACGCGGCTGTCAAGGCCTCAAATTAGGAGCAACATTAGCCGGTGGGCATGACAGTGCAGCAAGCTATCTGTTTTATCTGCAGCTTTTAGTTACCAGCCTTGAAGCCAAAAAGAAATGGGCTGCTTGGAAACAAAAGTGATGGAATTCAGGCTGTGAATGACATAACCCACCAGCTTCGCTCACACTATAGGGAATACTTTAAGATAAAGTTTTAAGATGGAGAAATGACCTGAAAAGCAACAAAAACACCACCAGCAGCCCTCGCAGCTCCCTCCGAACTCTGAGTCCCTCGCCAGCCCTTCCTTCCTCTCTCTCCAGCCCAAGAAGTTAGCAAGTGCTGCCACTTTAAGAGCGGGAAGGTGTCGTTTTAAGGGCCTCTAAGCCCCCCTTCTCAATTTCAGCTTCGAGCTGAGATCACATCCCCCATGGCAGCCAAGGGACAAAAGCCATTTATCAACCCATCTGATAAAACTTCCAGCGGGCTGGATCTTTATCTAGACCAAACCAAGATGCACACAAATTGCAAACTCCTGTTTCCCCAAAAGGGGGATTTCTTTTTAAAGAAAGGGGTTCACTGTTTATTTGATGTTTTTAGCTCTTGGGAGGGAACCAAATCAGCCTTTCCCCTAGACCCTTCTGTCGTTGGGGAAACTGCCTTCTAAGAGAAGAGGAGGACACCCCGCTGCTTGACCCACTATAGAGGTTTTAATAATCCTGGGCGAGGAGGACGGGGACGGAGGGCTCCGTGGGGCACTCACCGCGCCCCCCCATCTTGCCCTTGCCCGGGGCCTCCCCCACGGAATGCGGGGCTGGGAGCAGGTTCCGGATCTCCCGGACGCCCTTGGGGCGCACAGCTGCTGAGTGAGACGGGGCGCGCCAGAGGTCCCAGAGCAGGGGAGGGGCGAGAAGGTAAATTGAGGCCTCGCCCCTTACCGCTGCCTGCATACCGCCGGCCGGGAGCCCCAGCTTGCAGCCAGGCCGAGGCCAGACTGCCCAGTTCTGCCAGTTCCTAAAACCCAGTTGGCTGAGCAGCAAAACGAAACAACCCAATCTCGGTCTAACTCAAGTCCTTTCTTGCAAAGCTAGGTTGTGCGCGGGGGCTACCGGATCTGAGTCCGGCTGCGGAGCGAGACAAGCTCGCATCTTTGCAAAAAGACACCTTGGAAACCCGCAACGCAATGACACCGGCCGGAAGATCTCGCCTTGCGACGGGGACCATTTGGTCTGTGACACTGGGTTTATTTGTATTTTTAGCAAGAGGAAAATGGGTATAATGGGCTTAACTGACGTTTCCAAGGCTGTGAGTAGCATATGGCAAAAATGACATAAAGTTTTATGAAACATTATAAAGAAAACAGACCGGGGATTTAAGTTTCGTGCCTTCCCCCTCCCCCTGAAAGGGGGGGAAAAAAAAAGTAAAGAAACTGGAGCGTTTGGGAAGGAACAAACGCTTCTCTGTGGAGTTGGTCTCCCTTCCCCCAACAAAAACAAGAGGTCCGGGCTCGGAGGAATTTGAAAGCAGCGATCTGCCAAAAACATTGTGAAAAACTATGGGGGATTCATTGGAAACAGATGGGCTTTTTCAGCTTTAATTCTGAAATTCTCTCCCTTTCTGACACAATAAAAACAAACAGGGGGCGACGCGGAATGTTATCAAACAGGAATACGGGCTCGGTGGAGCCGGGTCCGTGGGCATCCCCGCGTGGGCGCGCGCGTGGGGCGGGACGGGTCCCGGAGGAGGGCGCGGGCGGGGACTGGTGTGGGACCTCAGGGGCTCCACCCCCGAGTACCCGGCAGGTTTGCAGACTGGTGGGCGAGAAACCGGAAAAAGTGCCCCCCGCACTGTGTCCAAGCCTCCTTCTCTCTCTCCTCCCCGGCCCCTAAGGGGCGCCTTCCCGGTCCCCCCCCCCCCGCCCTTCGCGGAAGGAGGGAGGCGCCGCCGGCCCCTGTGACCTCCCCGCGCGGCTCCTTTTCCTTGCAGCCCTGGCGGGGGTCCCCCCGGGCATCCATCGCGCCCTCGCCGGGGCGCGCGAGAAACAAAGACCCGTGGATATGGGAGGCGGGGGCCCGAGGGGAGCCGGGAACTTCAGCCCCGACTCGCTCGCACACATGTGGCCCAGTGCTGCGACGAGGCGCGAGGAGCGGGTGCGGCGGCCCGGCCAGCTGTGCCCTGGCCAGGGGCAGTGCCTTACCTGCGGGGAAGCTGCAGAGAAGGAAGGCGAGGGTCGGCCAGAATCCCAGGGCTGAACGTGCTGCCCCTCTCCCCATACCCATCCATCCAGCTCGGCCTGTTACCACTAGCCTCTCCCTGGAAGAAGAGTTTAGAAGAAAAGAAAAGAATAAATCACGCTGCGGAGAAAGGGCAGCCTCGCTCCGCCGGCGGGAGCAGCGAGCCGGGAGGCTCGGTCCACCTCGGCCGCGGGCGCCCGGCGCGCCCCCCTCCCCGCGCGCCCCTCCCTCGCCATCCATCACTCCGGCCCCCGCCAATGTCGGCGCGGCCCCGCCGCCCCCGCCGCCGCGCGGCCCGCCCCCTCGCGCTCGGGTTTCAGCGCGGCCCGCGGCGGGTGGAGGGACGAGGAGCTGGGCGGGGATCGAGGCGGCCGGGCTGCCGCGCTTTGCTGCGGGGACATGGGGAACCGGGGGCCGGGGGGCGCGCCCCGGGTCCGCGACCCCCGCGACTGTCGCGCAGAAAAGGCGCAGTCCCCCGGACGGCCTAGCCCTGCAGGGGGCGAGGGCGGCAGCGCGCCCCCGCAATCTTCCCCATAAATATCCAACCCAAGTAGAAACTGCGCTTCGAGACAAACCCCAGGTCCCCTTTCCAACTAGACTGCCGTCCTGAAGCCGCCACCGACACCCCCTGGCTCATTTCTCTCACTCAGATGTGTCCCCAGTGCAGGAGGCTGAAAAATCCGCTTCTGAGTTGGCCGGGGTTGGCCGGGATGGCCCGCTGGCTCTCAGCTACTAACGCACCTCGAGGCTCCCGCCCGCCGTCGCCCCGGGGCCACCCACCCTGCCTGGCCTCGGCCGCCTCCAGCATCCCCTCCAAGCACCTCGCCGCTTCCCGAGGACTTGCCCTGGCTGCGCTTCTGAGTTGGGGGCCTTCGAGCCTGACGGAGGTGGCTGGAGGACAGCTGCCACCTCGGGAGAGGTGCGGGTACAGTGGTCCCCGCGGTGCGCAGAGCCCGGCAGCCCCGAGGCCACCAAGGCTGCTTTTGGGAGGACATTAGGTTGGTGACTTCCCTTAAGTTGGTCGCTTATTTTTCCAGGAGAAAAAGGTCTCCTCCCCAAGGTTCCCTGGGCCCCGCAGCTCTTCTGCCGCTGTTGGGGTATTTAAGAGACTGGCAACTTCCCCGGAGAAGCATCTTTTGGATGGAACACAAGTAGGCCAGAGCAAGTGTCTTTAGTCAAATTAATTCCTCCCTGGGCCCCCCTCACCTCACTTCCAAGCCTACTCATCTGGTGCTTTGGAAAAAAATTCTGAGTTTTGATCCAATTGAGATGTTTCTCTTAAGTGCTATCACAGTCCTCACTCGCTGAAGGCCACACAGGCTGCGGGCCGCGTCTGGGTTAAGGCTCTGCGCGCCAGGAGGGGAGTGCAGCTCCAGAGCAGCAGGCTTTGGGCAAGAGGAAGAAAGCTCCCTGTCTGTGAAGACAGCCCAAAGCACTGATGCTTGTGATTCTGACTTCCACAGATCAGTCAAAGGGGGAAAGATGCCCCAGCCAGCTGTGCCCCGGGGCAAAGGGAAGCTGTTGTTTCCTTAGGGCAAAAGGCCACGGTGGCACTGCTCGCCTTCACAGTTGGGGTGCCACCGTATTTTCCTCAAATATTTAGGCCTCAGTCCAGCAGACTCTAATTATCATTCCCCTCAAACGGGAATTTGAAGCCCCGGTTTGCAAAGTGTGACAGATTTGTCCAGTGAAAGCCACCACCTCAACATCCAGGTCTCGAATGCCGTTCTCCTCAAGCTCGGCCCCTCCTTGGGCCAGACCCAACACTTTATTCTACGGAATCACACGACGGCCCTGGCACACTGAGGCAGGCACACAGCCAGATGGCACAGATGCACCTCTGAGGTCCACCAATGAACACCATGTGCTGGACTCCGCCTTGCACAAGTTAGTCCTAAAGCTTCTGGCTAATGAGAGAGAAGGGGTCCATTAGCATTCCCAACAGCCCCAGCAGTAAATCATCCAACACCATTGCAGCAGCATCTTCAGGTCGGAGAACATGGCCCAAGACCCAGCAGAGGCCGGGCAGGCTTCAGACGGCCCGAGTGCGGGCCCTTCCAGCACTGTCCTTGCCCAAGAGTGGATCATTGGCAGCAGGACTTTAAGCCTCTATGCCTCAGTTTCTTCATCTGTAAGGGGCAGGCTGATAATATCGTCAGCCCCAGATGGCAAGTGAATACAATTCGGGAGGGGCACCAGGCCATGGGAGCTCCCCAGCCTTCCTGCTATGGGATAGACCGCCATTTTGGAAGGAGATCCAATTCTTATGACATAAGCAAATAATTTGGGAAAGGGATGCAAAGGGCTTTTTCTCTCACAAGGAGGAACATGTGAGGCTGAAGTTGGACATCACAAAAGTGCAGATTTGGCCTTTACACAGTTTGGACTCTCAAGACAAATCCAGTCCCAATACAGCAGTATGGGGTCGTGCTGACCTCGAGGAATCTGTCTATACCGGCCAAAACAACCAGCTTATTGACAACTCCCGAACTCTTTGCCAGAGTAAGAAATTCTTGAAATGTTGGGTTTTGGAACTAGCACTCCACTCGCCATAGAAACTTGCTTAACTCAAAGCGCAGTGGACTTGAGACAGTCGGCTCCCATTGTGGAGTGTGATCCCTCACTTGGTCTCCCCTGGGAGGCAGCCTGGCCTCGGGGTAGAGACCTCTCTTGCCTGGCTCTTGCTCCCTTCTCCCAGCCCTGGCTGTGGAGGCCCCACCTTGGAACCCTCGCCCCCACCTCTCCCTCTTCACCTTCAGGGGCTAGGGTTGTGTGGTGGAGGGGTAGGGGGCATCTGAAAGGCCAGCTTCTGCATAATGCATAAGGCTGAAGCCCTCCCGGGGTCAGGAGTGGGTGGGGCCACAGCTTTCCCTGCCACAGGGCATGAACAGGGGTTCCCAAATCCAGGGCCCGAGGCATCAGTCAATAAATCTCTATCGAGGATGCTGCCTGCTAAGCCCTGGGGGATAAAGAAATAAAGAAGACAGCCCCTGTCTTTGAACTATTGGGAGAAACAGATATTAGAGGAAGGTGAGGGGTCAAGGAGAGGTGACTCGTGACTAAGTGCCTGGAGAAGGCTGTGTTACCAAAAAGGCGGCCGTGTTGCAAGGTGTCTTGAAGGATTCATTTTTAGTGAGAATGATGGTAATAATGGCTAATGTTTCGAGGTGCCCTTACCTTATGCAGGGGCTGGCTAAGTACTGTACATTTCTAGACACTTCAAGCTGAGTGGGTTCTCTTATCATCCCCATTTTGCAGATCAGATAACTGAGGCCGAGTGAGCTTATGTGCTCACCCCATTCCCGGCTAATAAGCTGCAGAGCGGAGCACACCGAACCCCACGCATGACTGACGGAATGTGCCATTCATTCCAATGATTCAAGTCTGCCCTGGGCTTAACATCAAGGCGAGACACATAACTTAACAATCACTCTCAATAAAGCATAACAGACTAACGGGGGAGACACAGAACACAGGCGCCAGGGGCCTCCAGCCCAGCCTGGGGCGCAGGGCAGGAAGTTTTTCCGGTGGGAGAGTGTGCCAGGGGAAGATGGTGGGCGAGGGAGTGGGGAGCAGGGCGAGGAGTCCAGGTAGAAGGAGCACTGAGTATTCCACATACCAAGGTGTGGCTTGCCCGAGGAGCTGGAAAAGCTCAAGGATGGTGAGGCTGCAGGAAGAGAGAGCAGGAGCTTGAGAAAGCCCGTGAAGGGCCAGCACCCGGGAGCCCCACCCAGGGCCTCGAGAAAGGGAGGGATTTATTCTTTCAGGAGACCACCGTGGGGGGGTTAACAGTAACATGGATGCCCAGGCCCCCCTCCGGAGCAGCTGAATCTGAATCCCTGGAGGGAGGGCCTGGGCATCAGCATTTTTAATGAGCTCTCCCAGGTGACTCATGTGTAGGGCCTCGCTAGGTTTGTGAGTTCAATCACACTCCGTCAAGCCTGGGTGCACAGAAGACCCAGGTTGAGTCCACCAGTTTATCCTCCCGGACTTAAAGTCAAGGCAAGACAGAAAACTGAATAATCACTTTCTATAAAGCAGTGAGTGGCACATGAGCAAGCTGACCAGTCAGAGTCTCTCCTGAGACTGTTGCTATGGGGGACGCCCCAGTTCTGGTCTCTGATTCCTACATAGGATGGGTCTGGGGGTAGCAATATGATGATAAGGGGAGTGTTTATGAGTGTTGTGGGTCCAAGGTGTGTTTGCAGAGTTGTTAGACTGTTTTTACTAAAGTTGCATTTTATCGGATGAGCTTTCTGGGGACTGATGGAGATTCTCAGGGCTAAATCCCCATGCCCCTCTTCAGCATGAGATTCTCCCCATAGCTCTTCCTTAGCTCCACTAGGACCTGCTCCAGCCATGAGCCAAGAAAGATCCTTATTTTGCTGAAACTGGTTTAATTTGGGATTCTCCCCCTTGTAGGCACAGACTCCTGACTAATAAGGAGCCAATACTGGTCCCAAGAAGCATTTTTGCCAACCTCAGAAGCGCAGGGGTATGCTGTCAATGGCTTTTAATCCATCATTCATTTACTAGCGAAATTTCTTGAGCCTGATTCCCTCCTCTCCCCCCCACCTTTGAAAAAACTTTTACCATGTCTTGAGGATCTCAGTTGCTCCAATTTACAACTCAGAGCAGGACCCAATTCTTCTTTTTAATTGATCCCTCCAACTCCTCTTTCAAACTTCAAGGGCTACCTGGGTCTGCTCGTCTCAGATTTGATGAACCAGACCTTGTTCACTCTCTCCATAACCTTCAAGGTTTTATAGACTTTGATCACATCACCTTTCTGGCTTCCTATTTCTACACTAAAGTCTTTAAAGAACAAAGAGGCACAGCTTCTCGGCAAAGCCTTCTGTCTGGGTGATTACTCACCTTTCTACAGTTCTGAGATATTTTTCTCGAGAAGGTCGTAAGACTGCCAGGTTTGGCGACGGCCCAGGGAGAATCCCTTTTTGGCTTGGTTACCATTTCTGAGAGCATTTTCTGAGTACTTGGTCCTGCACCGCCTTTAGGAACAAACATTTTGCAAAGACCCCCAAGATCCCTTTTTGTGGCTATAAACAGACTGGACAGAGT